ACGAAAAATTCTGTAATGAGAGGAATTAGTCACAGTTTTTCCAAACAGTATTAAAAAAAATCAAGTCTCTTTCACAGAATATGGAGATATTTTAAACCAAAAAAACCTCAGTTTGGTTTGATCGGGGCCATTTTTAATTCTTTCACGTGGTGTTTTGGTGCGTCTTCTCATTTTCTGCATTGAGGATTCAGACAGCAGTTCTTGTCAGACTTATCTTTCAGGGAGAAATGGCAAGGTTGACAATATTTTAGGTTAAATTGTAAAAAATAAACAGGAAATCATACTGTAATTATTCATCTGAGTGCAGCTGAGAAATGAGGCCCTGGTCATTGCTGCTGCGTGGCAAGGTCTCTTGTTTAGGGCCCTAGGGAAATCTGTTTTTACTGCCATTGCCTCAGGCTATGTTTGTTAGTTAGTTGTTTGGGTTCTTTTTCCCCCTGTCATTGTTACTTGGTCACTGTGTTCCTGTCAGAATAGGATATCCAACAACTGCCTATTTAAACTCTGCTCAGTAGTTTGGGCATTGGCTTAACTCTCCTATTCAGTGTCAGTATGCCCATATAAAAGAAAATGGTTATGGAAGTACATGCACTGTACACCCAGTTAGTTAATTCTGGAATTTAAAAATACATTGCAGTTATTGGTCTTCATTTGCAAGACTAGTTTACCTGTTGATCACTATAAAAGATTATTTGATTGTGTTTAAACTGTATACAATTGATTTAATTGTATTTCCTGTCCAGGTTTAAAAATATTGCCCAACGACCTTGATTCCAAGTTTTTTTTGAAACAGACCATATCACTTAGGCTCCTGAAAATGTGTTATATAAGTTTTAGTTTGGTTTATAGTTAAATGGCTTTTACTTTGACCAAAAGGACCTATGTATTTTCATTTAGAATTTGTTTACTTTGCTATTGAGATAAAGAGATTAAGTTAGTATTTTCTTCATCACATAATGAAATATTTTCAGCATTATCATAATTAGTTATTCTTCACAAGAAGTTTAAAAAAACCCTTGACCTTCGTGTTTCAGCTGTCACCTTTACCATTAAAAACATAGAATTTGCATTTGCAACTTGATGCAAATATTTCTACAGTACTTTTACAAGAATGTGGGCACTCACAATAATTGTCTGTGCAATGCATTGCATGTATTTCTACTCATCCACCATATAATTTTTGAGACAGAGGTCACTTTTACAAAAGTGGTTTTTGAAATATGCTAGGGAAGACAGTGTACTTGTTGCTCAGGTTAATAATCTTTGTAGTCATTCTACACCATGATCTTGACTGCATGGCAATTATTTTTGTCCTGAATAATTACATAGTCAATAATTTTCATTTGTCTTGCTGTGGCGTCTGGAAGCTTAAGGTATGTGCTAGGTTCATCAAGTTTAGCAAAATACAGATGAAACTTAAAAAAGAAGTCTTTCCTCCCTAGTTTGTTGCTGGCAGATTACTGGGAGGAAGAAAGATTACAAATGGAAAAACGATAACAAAATTACAGATTCTGTGATGAAACTATTATTATCTTGTTATCCAACACGTTCTACTTGTAGTCTTTTAATTTTAAAGAAAGTGAGTTAAGGGGTAGGGCAGTTAAAATGAGAAACTGCGTTAATTGAAGCTGATAAGTACTGATGTATTTTTGTTCCACAATTTAAAAAGAAATAATCTGAAATGTGGGGAATTTTTTATAGGACCATCATTTAGAATTTTGAGAATAAATACTTCAATAAATTTTGTCACAACAAGCACAAATAGCCCTCTCGTATATTAATTCTGATTTTTCCTAGATGTTTGTAACTTCTGAATTTCCCCTAAACTGATGCACAGTGAGGCAGCCTGTGTACATCGTTTGAAATAAAATACAAATTCAGTATGTTTAATGATATTTCTGTCTTTTTTTAGTGGATCAGATGTTCTGGGAAGTTATGCAGCTGAGAAGAGAGATGTCACTAGCAAAACTTGGCTATTACAAGGAAGAGCTCTAAATCTTTTTACTCTTGAGCATGCATGAACTTCATTGAATATACATAACTAAAATCGCTGAATCTCTTTTTGTCACTTGATATTTATTTCCACAAAGTGGGTCCAGATCCTTCTCCTTTTGCAGATTGCACTAAGAAGTACTGTGATTGTTTTAAACTGACCTATGCTGTATATGCGTACATATAATACTTAGTTCAACAAATGTGGTAAGCACTTGCAGGTGTATTAGTGAGTGTAATTAACATTTAAAAACAAAACTGATTAAAGTGTTAGTCTGAAGCAGTGTCTGTCTTCTATTCTTCGTGATGCAAAATGATGTTAACCTCCCTGATAAGTCATTTCATAATGTAAAACTGAGATGTTTTTATGAAGAGGTAATAAATGCCTGATGTTTTCTTCATTGTAGTGTTTAGATACATGCGTCTAGCTCTCTAGGCACATATGCCAGTACATGCTAGGAGACAGCTAGGAGAATGTGGAATTCTTTGAAGTGCTGCTTTCCTGTTGTTTTTGTTTTTTTTTTTTTCATTTTTAAAACAATGTAAGAAGAGAAACATATATAATAAGACTCAACAGCATAATAAATCTGGGTATCAGTTCTCTCTAAAGTATTGTGCTTTTCAGACATCAAGGAACAATAAAATTACCTTGGTCACTCTGGTTAGAAATTGGTCCTGACCCCCATCTGACTGCTAAAAACTTTCTCTTCCCCTCTAATTTTCTTTCATTAGAATTTTAAAATTTAATTTCTTCTGCTTTTTTAGGATTTCCAGTTTCCAGTGTTTTATACATCAGTTTCCCACAGTTGTCCTTGAAAGTGAAAAATACCCGTTATGTGATTTCTTGAACACAGTGATGATGATTTCCATATAAAGTTACCACTTTCTACACACACACACACACACACACACACACACACACACACACACACACAAATTGCTACAAAGAGAACCCATGGCTTCTTAAGGAAGATGGTTTATCTGTTCAGGTGCTGCTTGGGCACTTCAAGTTCAAGTAGTACTTTTTCCCTGGGCATAGTCTAAGATGGAAGTAGACAGTTGATTAGGTTACAAGGAACCTAGCTGTGGGTAGGTGGTAGACTTGCTGCGTAAAAGCCCTTTTGGAAAAACACTATGTCTTGATCATGACAACCATTTATCAATTGCAGATAAGCACTTAAAGCACTGGCAGGTAAACTGGCAAACATTAGAAGTAAAGGCAAGTTTATATACATAGCTGGTTCTTTACCTAAAAGTGTCTTGGTGGATCCGGATTTCTTTTGTTTAATGCAGAACAAAAATAACACACTTCCCTGTCTTACTAGAACATTCTCTATTTTTACAAAAGCAAATAGAATGAGCAGTGAAATTTGATGCCATGCTTGTGTTGCTTGCATGATTATGTGCCTGAAAACACTTTGCAAGCATTGGCTTTGACCAGGCATTTCAATGTTAAGATTAAAACGAACACTTGGGCCTAAATATTTTACTAGTAGTGGAGTATGTCCAGCCTGGGCTATTTCAATACTGATGAAACATTTTTATCAATCTCCTGTCATGGGGTACTAGTTTCTACTGCAGAAACCTGGAAGAATTCTACCTTCAACTGTTAAAAGCTTTTTATTATTTCACTAATGCTAAGGAAGTCTGGTTTTACTCGCTCTTAGAAAACTGTATGTATTGGCATTGTTTTATGTTAGGCTCATAAATGCTTCCTTAAATGATTGTTAATCCTTAGTTTACGTAATGAAATCAAACCGTTTCCAGGATTAGCTAACAGTAGGAAAATGATAGCTGGTAGCTGCTGCTACTCTTAATTTAATAATCCTTTACAAGTGTTGCTCATTCAAGCAGAGAGAAGGGTCCTTTCTATACATGACAGTGTCCAAACATGAATAGTATCTGAAGTTTGTTATGCTGATATGATTTTCTTGTACATAGGGTACATCTTTGAGGTCCCTAGTATCTCAGTGGTAATGACTAGCTCAATTACATCGACATCTTGTGAATACCAACTTACTTCTGTTGTCAAGTCCCTTCCCTGAAATTCTTTTCTATATTTTAAATATAATCTTTAATATATCATGATACAATATATCATGAGAAGCCTGTGTCACTGTGAGTGCCTGGGGCTTGTAAAAATGGCACAACAGCTGCTTGTCTGATGAATTTAACTACTTCAGGAAATGGTCTTATTTCAGACTTCTTGACTTCATTGAAGCTTTTGTTCATAACCAAATGCCTCTTACAGATGCCTACTCAAAACATTTGAATATTTTTCTCCTCTTTGCTTTAGGGATGACAGAACAGGGGCAATTTTCAGTGCACAAAGATCAATTGAAGAGTGAAATAGGGTTTCCTACTAGCCTCAAAAGACCTTTGTTCAATGTTCAGCTTTCCCCTATGTTTTTCAGTGTTACCTTAGACAAACAGGTTAATCTGTAATTTAGTTTTGTTAATCATAATGTAGAAATTCTGCTCTCTATAATCAAACTGCTGTGATAAAACAGATTTTTTTTGTTGGATAGTCGACACTCAGCTTATTCAATGGGATAGTACATACGGCAAAACTGGTGATGGCTTTCCTCTTGCATTTTTGATTGCTGTTGCTTTCATCAGTAGTGTTAATTACATGTGTGAAAGTACAGAGACAAGATAAGTAATTTTTATTGCTGCATTTTTTGCGCATGTGTAATTATGGTTAGTACTGGGACCAAAGGTCCTTGAAACGAGGACATTAGACATACTGAATGGAAGAATGCACATCGCCACCATCTTGCCTCAAAAGCCTTGTCAGATTCTCCTTTATGTATAACAGTAGAGTTTAAGTATAGCCCTGGCTGTAGTTATGGAGGAATGAAATCAGCTGGGACAAAGTCATTGAAACCTGCAACAATAACTGATGTGTTCCTTGGCATGTTTATAATCATCTGGAAGAGAGACGGTGCATTTTTCTCAGTGGGACTCTTCAAGCAGCAGGAAAGCAAAGCATCTTCTACTGGCTTTACATGGATGTGGTGGGAGAAAATGAGGCCTTGCAGCAGTTCTTTGAAGGTAAGAGTCTATTATTAAGAGAGTCTTAACAATTTTTGGTGACAGCAAAGATACAGTAATTGGGGTTAATTGAAAAAGAAATGAGAAAGAAAAAGCCCCGAAACCCAAAGCTCTATTTACACAAAGCTATCATGTAAGGTGACACCAGAATGAAATAGTACAAATGGTACAGACACAGCGTAGTGTCTTTTCCTTTGTGCTTCGGCCAGAGAAGACCAAAGGGAAGGTGGACCCAGCAGAGCCTGCAGTACCACTGTGGTAATTGCCAGGAAGGAAAACCCAGAGGTGGCTAAGGTCTTCTTGCAGTTTATCGCTTCTGAAATCTCAGTGATTTTCATGAGGTTAGAGAGCTCCCTCCCTTCTCTCTAGTAACATGTCAGGTTGAAGAGGGGTTTCTTTCCCCTAATGCTCTTTGGAAACGGCCTGATTAGAATTGGTAAAATGGTATTCGTGGCAGTATCCTAGGGATCCTGAAGCTTCTCAGAAGTTAAAACTTGGATTTATTTTGTCTTTTGGCTGGGATCTGTCCTGACTTTTCCCCGAAGGCATTTTACATTCAGGTGGGTCCCGTTAACCCTTCTCCTCCCACACAATTTACTGTCTAATAGACTCCATAATAAAACTGCATTTCACAAGCACTGCCATAATGTGATTCAAAATGGCTATTCAAAAGCTTATGTATTTTTTACTTTTTTATTTTTTACAAAACCTTTCTCTTTCTCCAGTTCGCACTGTAGTTTTCTTGGTTTAAATATTAACCTTTCTATTCCAAGCTTATTTCTGTATTTGTTTTCCTTCTATTATTTGTGCAAGTCTTCATGTGATACTGATCTCAAAGTAACTTGGAAAACGACCTTTTCTGTTTTGGATAATGTGAACAATTTTTATTTCCCTGCTTTTAATTTCCATTATGCTTATTTAAAGATTAAGGAAATAAAAGATTCTTCAGCATTGATCAAGAAAATGTATTTAAACCAAGAAATTTAAATCAGTGAACCACAAGCTAGGGTTGCTAGCCAGCAAACACATTGTTCATAGATGTTAGGAAATTCATACCATGTTTCTTAAATTCACTTTAAGTCATGGAGATCAAAAATTAACACACTTTCTTGGCTTTGCTTTGCTTTCAGCAACATGTTTGTTTTTATCAACCTGTTTGTTCAAGTACTGCATTGCATAGCTATTAAATACTCAAAATATTGTTGGATATAAATTATAGAAAGCTCTTTTTTTTTTTTTTTTTTTTTTTTTTTTTTCTTTCTAGGGAGTATGAGTTAGGCTCTGTTGGCTTTTGTGATAGTGATACCTTGACAGTGGAAGTTACCAGAGTTTTTACCCGTATGAGCTCTTCAACTAGAATTACTAATTGTAATTTCAGAATTACATTCAGTAATTTAACCCTTATTAGAAAGTACTTGGTAGAACGTCTGTCTGGGGCGGAGTGAGGGAGAGAAGCCTTGTCGATTCCATTTAATTGCAGGAAAAATGAAACATCTTGGGAGGTTATGTTCCTTCAGTAATGTGTGGTTCTGCTGCGTAGTGCTACAGTATGACTAAAGGTCTGCTAATGCCATGCAGCATGCAGGGATGCTGTTAGTGGCTGAATTTCATTGTCTGGACACTGGGATTAGGTATGTGTCAAGGCTACAAGAGCGAGTTGTCTTTTCAGCATGCAGTAGCTAGGCTCCTCTTGCTGTTAAACCATAGGTAAATCTAAAAGTTAGGGAGCTAGCTGATTAAAAACTGCTCTCTTCAAGCAGGGGTTAGTTTCACTGAATGTCAGGCCAGCTTTAACTGATGGCCTCTCGAGTTTAGCACTACATCTTGTGCGTTAGCTTTATAATACCATGTCATGAGGCAAGAGCAATAATCTGCTTGTGCTAATTTGGTAGTCTCTGAGATTAGTCATAGTAGCACTAGAACATTGTCTTTCAAGGCTACAAAAAAAGCTGAGTCCTGCAATACCAAGTGGAGAATGCCGCTGCTGAGGAAGACTCTCTGCTTTGTCAGTGGTTCAGTTTTGTCTCCCAAAAGCGTCAGCTGGCAGCTAAGCACCTTTATAGATCTGTTTTTGTAAGATTATTTGAAATTTGTGAGCAAAAAGGATCCCATTTTCCCCATTTTGTTAGTTCTTTACAGTGCTGCTTTTTTTTTGACCCTCATTAGTAAGAAAAACTTACATTTGCAATATTGAGAGGGGACAGTCTGAAAAAGGAGTTTTTTCAAGGAAAATGAGATAATGTTTGTTTTCCTGCCGATCACTTTTTTCAATAGTTAATAGACCTTTTAGATTAGATAGGACTCTGGGATCTGACCTTGGCTTTTTTTTTGTTTAAGTATATGTATTTTCTCTTGTGTGGCTGTTCTGGGAAGTTCTTGTCTTTCCTGTTTCATTTCACTCCCACACTAAAGATTTAATTTTTGATAGAAGTTTCTTCTATGATTTGTTTAAATTATTATTTTTAATTAAAACATTTGTATATTAGAATCAGTTACTTCCTATTTGTCAAGGGAAGGTCAGAGCTCCTGATCAGCTCTTGTGCCTGCCCGCGTGTAGCAGAGCAACCTATTCTTGCTGACATTATCAGTGGGTTGGGAAGCGTGAATGAAGGCTGACATAGTTATGCTGTTAAACTCGGTCCTCTTTTTTTTGTTGTTGTTGGAAGGTACGTTGAGGTGTCTAAACTGTGTGTTTGGTCTTATTGCTCTCTGTGGTCTAAAGAGTCTCTTAGTGGAATCTCCACTTCTCGGTATACTCATGCTTCTGCATGGATAACACAATATAGTTTAGAGCTCTTGGTAAATAAATTAAGCAACAGAACAAACATGCCACTAAACACAAAACTCTTGAAACCCAAAGGTGTCTCATACCATTTAAGGATGACAGATTGAAATGGGAATAAGAGATTAAATGACAAATTTAAAATATTAACTGTAAGATTTGTTCCTCTCGCAAATGTTCCTTTGGGGAAAATCCATCTTTCCTGACACAAGCTCACTTCTTAACACGTAGAGTAATATATATGATGTTGAATAACCTAGACTGTGATGCATCTTGGCTGGCTGCAGTTCTTCCATCTACAGCTGTTTTGTCCTTAACCCTTTCCTGGCTGCAGTGTGCTTGAGGTTCATGTCCATAGCTCTGCTGGCTCAGCAGCTTTTATCAATGACTCCATGTCTATTCCAATCAAAATGAACTGGATTATCTTGAACAGTTTAATTAATGACAAGTACTTGGAGCCCTTTAGCATGAAAGAAGTTAAGGAACTATAAGCACCATAAGTAATACTTACCTTAGCGTAAGTTAATGATGTTCAGCTGGACTTTCCACTGAGCCTGTACATTGGAGCTCATGAAGTGCTGAGGCCTGTTTTAGTGGTGAAGTATCTTCAGATGAAAATCAGTTGATAATTCTCAAGCGTAAACATTTCCCTCAAGTTGCAAGGGTTTGTAGCAAGCATTAATTTTTCCTCTGAGCAAGCAGCTATTGCTGAGCACTGACTGTGTGCTGTGTGCCATTGTTACATCTCAAGCTGTATTTAAGGGTTGTTCCCCATACAGAGCAGCTGATGTTTCAACACTAACCTTACAACAAATAGCTGGACTTGGTTGGGAACTTTCTGGAATCCTTTTTTAATGTCAGGAAATAATCAGTTTAATATTGTCAATTCTAGAAGATTGACAGAGTATTTTATTGGTTATGGACTGAATTTATGTTTGCAGAAAGAGCACCGCAGTAGCCTGGTTGTTTGGGCACTCCTTTAGAATGTGATGGCTGTGGTTCAAGCGAAATTCACAACAGCATGTGACTTTCTCTGAAATAGTTGCTCTGTTAAAGACATAAAACTTACAGCAAGGAATCTCTGGTTCTCTGTCCCTCACCCTTCACTTTGCATTTAGGTATTACTGAAAAGGAGGTAACTGGTTTAAATGCAGATGTATATAAGGCACTACATGGAAGTATTAATCAGGACAGGTTTTTCAGGGATTGAGACTCTTGGTTCCAGGACTATAGAGTGAAGCTCAGGAGCCAGGTGATGAGAGCCTCTTGGCTGGAGGAAAGGAGGGGATGTCTGCCAAATAGCCATACATGAAGTAAGCAACTGCCAGATTAGGAGGCTGGATTTCAGGCTACTCCTTGGGGGCCTGAGGCTAGGAAAAGGGACAGGCTAAGTGAAAATGGACAGGGAGACGGAAGCCAGTGGTAGAACTGATGGTTTTAGACATCAGATTGAAGGAGACTCAACAACAGACTAGCAAGTTTATGGATAAATGGGAAAAATAGTCATGTGCTACCTATGACTGCAGTCTCTGTTCTGCAAACAGCTGTGTGTGAAACCCCAACCACAGTACTGCCTTGGCCTTTCATCTTCATCAGTTCCTTGGGTAGCTGGCAATCCTCTGCACAGTGACCCTAAAGTTGAATGTGTTACCCAGTGCAGATTCTTCCCAGGGATGTCTGGACACATTGCAGCATGGAGTGTGGACTGGGAGCAGAGATCCCTGAGTGCAAGCAGTTAGTCAAGGCTGCTGACTCCACATAACCTCCTACAGCTCAGCCAGACGCATGGTTCTGCGCAGCAAGCTGCAGGTTTCGGGGGGGGGCGGGCAGGGGCTCTCAGCAGAGCTTGTCCCACAGCAAGCACACAGTTCTCTGCTCTTGAAGCCACCTATAACTTCCAGGCGAGCTGTATCCATTAAGTACTACCTGTGATCAGTTGGCTCTGAAATGGATGCCACCATTTAAAATAAATGGGCAGGCAAATGTACTGTCTCTTCTGTGCACCTGTATCGCAAACTTTCATTCGTGGTGGCCTGTCTTCTTCCTGGTGTGCTTCCTTCCTCTCACAGCACAAAATTACTTATTCCTTCCTCCTCCTCCTATCCATTGAACTCTTTATGCAAAGTGGAGAGATTAAGAGAGAATGATACATACTGCTGTTGTCATCACTTAGCAACAGACCTGATCTCTGGATTGTGGGGTGCCCATTTGACTGGTATCTGCACTTAAAAGAGCGTGTCTCTGACCTTAGTCAAAATAAGGAATTCGTGGTTTTGTGCTACAGGAAAAACACTTTGTATCTGACCTCTGCCCTCACGTTAACAACAAAATTATAGCATTCTGCCTGAAGGCCAGGCAATTTGAACAGGAGGAATGGGGTGGGGTGGTAAATGGAGTAGAAGGTGACCGAATCATTTTTGTGTGGACTGCATTAGCAAAAGGAGAAGTGTTTGAGATTCAGGGGGTAATATCCTAAATTCAGATATGAAGAACAAGAAGATGAGAATTCAACAAGTTTGAGGGAGACTGCTAAGGAAAGCTTTGTACTCTCAAACTGGTTTTGTGAAGTGCTTTGCTGCTACTTCAAGACTTTCCATGTTACAGTTTTGCTGAGGCAAGTTACGTATCCCGCACCTATTGAATCTGTTCTTCTCTGATGTGTGGAGGACAGGTTTGTAATACAATGGCAGTACATTGGGATGCAAGGAGCTATCAGTAGCACACCTGCAAGTTGCTATCTCACAGTGAAAGGCTTCCAAAATTAAGTCTGCAGCAGTGATAAGCAAACAATGCCTAGGTAATCTGTGATCACAAAGCAACTCCGGAGATGTTTATTAGCAATGTGAATTTATGTATTGAGAGACACATGAGGGAATTCCTGTGCAAGGTGGTAGAAGTGGATTTTTAGATGCTACTCGCAGTTAAGTAATGTCTAAACACTGGATTAAGAAAGAACCATGTTAGAGACATCAGGAAAACACAGAAGAAATTTTATGGTATGACTTTGTACCATGCACGCGTTTGATGCTAGTACAGTGAGAAGACAGTAAAAGCACCAAAGGCAGTTTCTGTTCCTGTGCTCAGTGACAGCGACTAACCTTTTGTGTTCTGCCACTTCGCTGCAGAGCTGCGGGGCAATGGCCGGTGCGGGCCGCGGGGGCAGAGCCACACGCAGCAACCCTGCCTCTCTGGGGAGAGAGAGCAGCAACTTCAACCTCCTTATCTTGTTTGCTTTCTGACCGGCCACACCCGTGTTTACGGAAGGCTTGCTGGAGAGGTGGGGAGCCTGCAAATCAGGTCTGCTGGTTTGGCTTTTTTAGAGAGTTCCGTCAGACTTTCTACGAAGTTGCCAGCAATTCCAGAGACTTTATAATCGTAAAATCTGATTATGGCTTTCAGTTAGCAAGCAACAAAGGACAAAGTACTCAACCTTTCCATTCATTAATATGAATACAATGTTAGTTGGCTGGAGTTTTGGGGAGAATAAAAGGAAGCCACTAGTCAAACATTTCTAAAGCTTTATTTGTGCTTTCTTTAAGCTCAGGATGGTGGATTTTTAAACTGAGTGTTTCAGAAACTCACTTGCAGTACCAATGCAGAAAGCTGAACCGAGACAATGTTTGAGCTTTGACCCCATCACCTGTTTTGATCCCAGCGTAAAAGAGTATGAAGTCATCTTCAAACCCTCTTTTTCCAGTTGCAGACAGGGGCCCTTCATCCTCTTGCTGTACTAATTCAGCGAAGCCTTAATGTCATGCATGAACTGGTGTTTCCCTGGTGCTGCTCTGCCATCTTCATCTTACCCTGCACATCCTCAGTTTACTTTGTATTTCTTGCCATCCTTCCTCCCAGAGTGACTAAACCGGAACATGACTCACCTGTTACACACAAGACTGGACAGATTTGATTTTCCTTTGTGTAGGAGAGTGGGCAGCGTTACTTAGTCTGAATTACTGCCTCTGAATTCTACCCTTAATTTCTTTTTGGTATTTTTAATTTTAGGGCAAGATGTCCATGGAGCCTTGGAGAATCCCATGGTGGATACAAGTATGTTGGAAGAATTCATCAGTAGTGATGCAGAGTTTGGAACTTTGTAAGTATTACAGCAATATGCACTTCTTCTCTTTAGCAGCATCTCTTAATTTGTTTTCATTAATGCCATGATAAAATCTGAATGCAGCATTCAGACCTGAAATCTGAGTTTCAAGAGGACTGTGGCTCTCTTGATATTGTTACTTGAAGCTGTAGAAGATTTAGAAAAAATAATTACAGACAGTAGTGGAAATCTGGTTGTCTTGTTCAACAATTGAATGAATGATAATGAAGTCTGGGATAGTTCAAAACTGCTGTGCTAATCGTGACATTAAATGCAAAGCTATTATTTTAACATTCCTTTAAGTGCTGTTTTAGCGTTTATGTACAGAATAAGTGAGACTAATGTATAATAAATTGAGAGAATAATGTAAACCTCCCAGTTTGAGGGAAGCAGGGCTACTGTTTTCATCCTAATGCTTCATTAAGAACAGAGAAACTGTCCATTAATCTCTTCTAACTTTAAGCGATACAAAGGATCCGCAATGCAAAGGGTCATGGTCAAGGGTGGAAAGTTATGCAGCATACAGCTATAAAAGACTTCCAACCCAAATCTTTCATCCAGACACTGTCAGATGACTGTTGTTCAGTGCAAAATATTATTAATGGGCTGACATTTGCACCTGCCAAGAAGCAGAGCAAGGGAGATGTTTTAAAAATAATTAAACATGGGATTTTTCATTCTGGACAGACTCAGCAGCACACGTATTTACTTCCAGTGGGCTAAATAGGCTTCTACCTACTGTAAATCATGAATAATCTCTCTGCCCATGCTATAAAAGAAGAATGAATAGGTTTTTGTATATTAATATACATAATCTTTTTTAGAGTGACTAAACATGTTTCAGATTAAACAGATTGACTCCTCTATGACAACTTTTATAAAGCAAACATAGCAGAAATATGGAGAGATAGACACACATGCATGCTATTATGTAGCTTAGGTGTGTTAGAAATTATAGTTTATTGCTACGAAGTATTTATGTGAAAGAAAACAGTTTGTAAAGCTACTATGGCTTTGGAGGCTCAACAGGATTTTACACTGATACTACAGTCATACTTCATTAATTATAGGATTAAGGAGAGCATTTACTGAATCATTAGATCTCTAAAACTATGAAGTATTTGTCTGTATTGCATAAGCAGAATAGCATCTCATACAGGAACTTCCCAGAACATGTCAAAAGAGAAAAAAATTAAAAGCCTCTGTAGATATATAAAATGTAGATTAACATAATGGCACATGCAATACTGAACGCAAAGTGCAATGAAAAGGATGTGGGCTACCACCAAGGTCTTGGGCTGCATCTGGAAGGGTCCATTAAAGATTGTCTTGAATCAGACAGGTTGTTGGCATTACATTTATTCTCCTCTTATACCACATGTGAAGCACCATGTGATTTCTTCATCTTTTCCTACACCAGTAGCTTACTCTTGAGTGGTGAAAGGAGAAAAAGGGTTGCCATGTCCTGTCCTAATGAGGCATTTAATTGATATACTGTGTCTGTAGTACAGAATCATTAAAGCTACAGAATATTTTTTTTCTCAAAAAGCACAACACCAGTTTCAGTACAGTTCTAACCTGGAGACATATCCCTACTAGCTCTGTACTTATTATGAATATTTTCTTTCTCTGAGAAAGTGTCTGTCTCTGTATTTTACTGTAATACTCTTAACTTAAAACAGAAATCGAGTGCCCAAAGCAGTGTTTGAAACCAGGAACATGAACCAAAAATACTTTGATGGATGTATTCTTTTAAATTTTCAAGGCACATTAGGAATTCAGCAGCTATGGATCAAATATCCCACAGAAAAAAAATAATTAAAATATTTACTAATTCTCTACTTTATTCAAAGTTGAAAACAATGGAGCAGTAGACACTGTATAAAAGCATCAGAAAATTTGTTTTGAAGTAAATTAATGATTATTTTAATGTGGAATTTTCAAATTTATTTTTTTAAAAGTAATCATAAAGTTGAAGGTAACCCAAAATGCATGGTTGTGCATGTGGCATGTTAAAAAACTGTAGCAATACCATGATGAAATATGGAAGAACATGTCAAAAGTAATAGGTTGTGACCAAAAATGAAACTGTTCTCTCTCATGCCATTCAAATGCAGAAATACAAAATCTGAAGTAGAAACCATAGAATGAAAACCAGGTGATGGAAATTTTCCACTGATGCTTGAAAATATTTGCTGTGTACATGGGAAGACATGTGTTTTCTGAATACGAGGGTACCGCTTTAAGCAATTTTATTTTATTCAAAATTCTGCCAGAACACTGGGCCTGAGTAAAGGAGGTGTGCCTCACTAAGCTTCTGTCATCCTTCCTCTGCTCTAGCATTTTTAGCCTAACATGCATCTTAAGCACCTGTCTTTCAGGTAGTGATTCAGAGCACTGTTTGAATACATGAAAGGGTTAAAAATCCATTTCTTGAACCTCCATCTATTCCTAATGTAATAGAGGAACCCTCTGTAGTTCCTTTAAATGGCAGCAAGATGGCATAGGATTTTCTCTCTCTTAACCTGCTTTGAAAGCACCCTCATGGACTGAAAAACTTGAAATAAAACAGGAAAGATGTGACAGAACTGTGTCCTCAGCTAACTGGAGACAGAAGCATGGCTCTCTGTAGCGGTCTGCTGTTCGTTTAGGATGCTCCTATTTTCAATGCAGAAGGAATGAAGGGGGTTTGCTATGTAGTGTGGGAACATCTGCTTGTTGCTGTGGGCTACTTGTGAAGGACTTGGCCTGGCTTAATGGTGTAGTTTCAGATCTCACTTTAAGAGACCAATCGTTTACAGTGTCTAATAGGAGATAAATCCCCTGCAATTCAGGAGGAGACAGTCAGTGACCTGCTGCATCACACAGACACACACAAGTCCATGGGACCGGATGGGATACACCCGAGGGTGCTGAAGGAGCTGGCTGGGGTGCTCGCCAAGCCGCTTTCCACCATTTACCAGCAGTCCTGGCTGACCGGGGAGGTCCCAACAGATTTGGAATTGGCCAATGTGACACCCATATATAAGAAGGGTCAGAAGGATGATCTGGGAAACTACAGGCCTGTCAGCTTGACTTCGGTGCCCAGGAAGCTGATGGAGCAGCTCATCCTGAGTGCCATCACACAACACATGTGGGACAACCAGATGCTCAGGCCCAGTCAGCATGGGTTTATGAAAGGCAGGTCCTGTCTGACAAACCTGATCTCCTTCTACAACAGGGCAACCTGCTTATTGGATGAGGGAAAGGCTGAGGATGTTGTCTAGCTTGACTTTAGCAAGGCCTTTGACACCGTTTCCCACAGTATTCTCCTGGCAAAACTGGCTGCTCGAAGCTTGGATGGGCACACGCTTTGCTGGGTAAAAAACTGTCTGGATGGCCGGGCCCAAAGAGTTGTGGTGAACAGAGTTAAATCCAGTTGGCAACCAGTCACGAGTGGTGTCCCCCAGGGCTCAGTGTTGGGGCCACTCCTGTTTAACATCTTTATTGATGATCTGGACGAGGGGATCGAGTGCCCCCTCAGTCAGTTTGCAGGTGACACCAAGTTGGGTGGGAGTGTTGATCTGCTCGAGGGCAGGGAGGCTCTGCAGAGAGACCTGGACAGGCTGGAGCCATGGGCTGAG